TGCTGTTAATTTATTTGGGAAGGATAAGGAGTACATGCAATTTATTGCCTAGTTTTCTTCCGATAAGTAGGAACAGAACTCAGCAAGACTAGAGAGATGGCTAATGCCTTGGTTTGGCAAATCCTTTAGGAATTAAGAACCTTTAAAGAAAGACATCAAGGGCCCTGAAAAATGCCCAGGAAACTTAAAAAACAACAAAAAAATCCCTCAGTCATTGGCAACTTACTAAGGAGGGGCAGGAGTGTCTTCTTAGGGTGAAGGCCATCTCAAGTGGGCCGGGGCTGGACCTGACAGAGAAGATTGCTGATTCTTGGGGCTGTGCGGCCCTGTCACCTGAGAGGTAGCAAGCTGTGTCTTGGCCACATCACCAGGGTTGTAGATACTTGGGAGGGTGGAGGAAGCTCTTTCCTGTTGCGAATCTTTTCTGAGATTCTCACTGTGGCTGGACCACTTCTGGTCATGTGTACAGCATGGTACTGGTGACTCTGCAGGGAGCAGTGGGCCTTGGCCAGGCCAGGACCCCAGGCTTCCTCCCGTAGCAGTGGTGGTCCTCAGAGGGGTGGTGGGAAGTCCCCAGAGGGTGGCAGAACCACCCGTGTCTGCTCTAGTGGGGCAGAGCTAGGTTACAAGGATGTGGTGTTGGGGTATTAGAGTTGGTTAGAGTTTGATAAACAACACAGGCTCTAGACTGTATAAGTTTGCCTTTTCTTTCTTTTTTTTTTTTTTTTTAAAGAGCCACTGAGCCACACCAGCCAGGGCTTTTTTTTTTTTTTTAACTTAACTTAAAAAAAGTTTTTTATTGATTCCAGAGAGAAAGGAAGAGAGAAAGAGAAACATTGATGTGAGAGAAACATTGGTTGGTTGCCTCCTGCACACGCCCCAACTGGGGATTGAACCCGCAACCTAGGTATGTATGTGCCTTGACTGGGAATTGAATCCACGACCTTTCAGTGCACGGGACGATGCTCCAACCAACTGGGCCACACGGGCCGGGCTATATAATTTTTCTTAATTTTATTTGTTTTGTAATTCCATAAGGCTTTACTTCATTATGTTAAGGTTTTGATGGTCATCTGCTATAATCTGGTTTGCCCTTTGAAATCCACTGTAACTCTTGTTTTGGTTTCACTGTACGGAATCTTGTTTCAGTGACTCGGGCTGTACCATAATCTGTTTTGAATAAGAGAAGGTGTTTTCATGTCCTGGATAAAGACCATACTAGTGCTATTTATTTCACTTATGAAACAAAACAAATTTTGTGATTGAGAAATTTGAAAATTGGGTGTGTTCACAAATTCCTTTCCATTTAGTGGTAAGTCATTTCAATAAAGGTTTCTTTTTGCTAATACATGCATATTCAGAGCTATATCTCAATACTTGGCTATGATGTGATGGAAAACGGAATCAGAACCCCGACTGGGGTCTGAGGGCAGCCTACGTCTGAGGCCAACGACCTGACAGGTGTGCAGCTGGGCAGGTCCGCACGCCGCCAGCTTTGAGGGAGGGGCGTCGTCCCTGTTGTGTGAATGGAGTGGTTTTGAGGCACTACCAGCTGTCTTAGAAAGACATTCAAGAAGCTCCAGATTTGTACTCGGGACTCTTGATTGGCAGGGCAGCGGGACCGCGGGGTTCTGTTGCTCCTGAGACTCATCTCTTCAGGGGTTGGGTGACAGGGCACAGCTGACCATTTTCCATGCGCAGGCATGGTGGCCACCCTTCCTTGTCACACCCGGGACTCAGGCGGACCTGATGAGCTCCTCGTGATTGGTGCACACTAACAAACCTGTTTGTGCGCTTGCTTTAAAGTCTGCTCTGCCAAGCGCACAGCCAGGCCCTGGGACTTCATAAATGAGTAAAAATGGGTCTTGCTACTGAAGAATCATGTGGGGGTGAGGTGGAGTGAAGAACACGAAAATGTGATTTTAACATTATGAATGCTACGATAGCAGGAGAGAGTTTGTTCTTTGTACAATAGTCTTCGAAATGGAGCCTCATGTTCTATTCTTCACAGATCTGCTGGTCATTCCCTACTTCCAAAGAACAGTCTGGGCACGTCTAGAGTTATTTCTTAGATCATATTTTTGATAATTTCTCCTAAATGAATTACTCTGATTTTCTTCATTTTCTCTCAGTTGTGCAATTATAGGCTCATCCTGTAGACTAAAACCTCCACTCATGTACTTTGTTTGGAAGAGCTTTGTGAACTCTGTAAATGTGGAAATTTATCTGTATTTGCCCTCTTTCAAGAGAGGTTGGTTCTAGGCTCCGTTTTGAAATGTTCTGTTGCTGATCTCACAGCTTGTTTAGTTTAGTTAAACTTGGTCAGAGACTGTTGTTGTGACACACTGCATCGTAACTGAGGTGGAGACAGCGTGAAGTCGCTCCAGAATGTCAGACAAGGAGGGCTCTGGTGCAGAAACACGTAGTGCTAGCTAGTGAGACCGCTTTACCAAGACAGAGCTCCTGTGCCCGCCGGGAAGAACTGGGACAGCACCCGTGTGGGACATCAGTGAGAACTCATGCCGTGCTGTAGGTTTTATTGGGTGTTGCCTCCAAGGATCAAGAATTTGTCAAGGTGGCAGATCGATGTGAAATAGTTTATGAGCTAATGAAGCAACAGATAATCACTTTTTATCAGGTTCCTTTTTTTTCTACTTGCTAGGCCTTTGAAGTGTTAAATGTCTAAAGTAATTTGCATAGTATTACTTGAGCTCCTCTGTTAACTAGCATTATTGAATGCAAACAGTTGCCACAAAATTGTTTTTTAAGGACGCTCCAATTTCTTCTTTTAAAGATTTATTTGTTTTTTGACAGAGGGGAAGGGAGGGAGAAAGAGAGGGAGAGAAACATCAATGTGTGGTTGCCTCTCACAGCCCCTCCCTGGGCCCCTGCCCGCATCCTGGGCTTGTGCCCCACCTGGGAATAGAAGCAGTGACCTCTTGCGTCACAGGCCAGCACTCTAGTCACTGAGCCATACTAGCTGGGGGGGCAATTTCTTCTTAATTTTGGTGTCTTTTGCCCTCTTCCCCATCTTTATGGCTTTCTTTTTCCCTCCTGACTTCCCCGCTTTCCCTCAGAGACGGTCATTGTCTTCTCAGTTCTAAGGACTGCTGCCTTTGTTCCACTTCAGCACCCCGGGGCAAGGCCACATTTTTCACTGTTCACGGGAGTACTCCTGTCTCTGTGACCTCATTTAACTGTGTTTATCTCAGATTCTGAAATCTCTTTGTTTTTCTCATTTGTCCAGACCTTGGAGTTTGGGGTCTGTAGGCCTCGGACAGCCCCACCTCCAGGTGTGTTGCTCATACCTCAGAGTTTCTGTCCTTCTTTCTTGGGTTTTGAACTCCATCTCAACTGGTGAGGCTCTGTTGTCGCCTTTCCTGCTGTCCCTCTGCAGTCTCGTCTGTCCGGTATTGCCCCCTCAGATAAATCTTACATTGGAATTTCTTTTGGCTTTTTTAGGTAGAGTATCAGCGCCAAAAGGGCAAGGTCTGTGTTTCATTCATCTTTGTATATTCATTGCTTGGGCCATAATCATCACGTATTACATGCTTTCTTTGTCCTGCTTTCAGCTCTGAATAATCTACCATTTGTGTTCTTTGTCACTGTTTGGTGGTGAGTGTTATTACTGAGAGTTACCCCGACCTTGGGGTTCTTTCTCCAAATCTGGTCTGAGACAGTTTTCTTTGTGCGTGAGGGTTTTGTGTGAGCAGGTAGGCAAATGAAACCTTACTCAATTATTCAAGCCAGAAAGTCATCTTCCCCCACATTTAAATCATCACCAGGTTTTCTCCGGAGTAATCCTCGAATTCCTTTTCTCTCCATCACCAGTGTGGTGGTAGACCTGATGTCCACTCTTGTCCGGAGACTGTATTGCAGTCCAGTGTACCCTGGCCTCACCTTGCGCTTCTGTTTCTCCACCTCCCCTCCTGCTCTGTAGTCACCTGGCCCTTCCAAGGTGGAAACCTCCCCTCCCCTGTTACTTAAAACACTCAGTGGCTTTCCACTGCTCTTAGTGGAATTAAAGCAAAACTCCTGAATGTGGCACCTCTGCACCGTCTGCCAGAGAACTGTCCTCATCTTTTTTATTTTATTTTATTTAAATTGTTGTTGCAGTACAATTTTCTATCTTTTACTCCCATCCCAACCCACCCACCCAACCCTCCCCACGTTCTCATCTTTTGAAGATACAGGTATGGTTTAATAGTTTGAGAAGTAAACGTTCCAGAAGAGGACACTTGCTTAGACTCAAAGTGGGGACTCTCATGTGAATGAGGCATCTGGTGAACTGTAGGTTGTCCCCACAGTGGAGCGGGCTGGTTCCCAGAGCCTGAGACTGAAGACGAGACAGTGGGCTTGACTTTGCATTGGCCGCATTCCTTTTTTTTCTTGCTGGCAGAGGGGCCCCTCGTGTGAACAAACGTAGCACAAGAGGCAAAAATCCACACTTTTATTATCACAGTGTTTAAGGTGAGAATCATAGTTTCAAACTGTTTAGGGGGAATACTTTAATTTTTGTATTTATTGTGGGTTGTACTGTTTCTGCTTTTAGTGCTGTATGTAGATTTTACTTTTTTGGATTTGTCATTTTTAATTATATTACTCAGCTTTGCCAGTGATGTAATGATGAAAACTTAGGGTCATTCTACATTGTGGCACTCCACAGTGTGGATACCATAGATTAAAAACTAGCTTGTTTAAATAGTACACTTAATTCCTGTAATGGGATCATGTTTCTATGAGATGGCTGGTCTCTAGGAGTGAGGAATCTTTGTAAATATATCTTTTAAAAGTTGTGATAAATAAAGCTTTATAGTACTTTGAATGAAATGTTTTAAGGATTTAACCATACAGATCAAGTGAGCACCCTTCTGCAAATGCCTACAGTACAATTATGTATTACTTCTTTTGTTTATTGTCGGTTTGCTGGGGACTAAAACACAAGTGACCGTATTCAGCTGGTTAGATTAGTGATTTTGGTATGAAACCATTGCTTTTAGAATAATCATGGGCCAGACTGGGAAGAAGTCCGAGAAGGGGCCAGTTTGCTGGCGGAAGCGTGTGAAGTCCGAGTACATGCGGCTGCGGCAGCTCAAGAGGTTCCGGCGAGCTGACGAAGTCAAGGTATCACTTTCCTTGTCTTTTGTGAAAATGCTTGTACAATTGAAGATAGCTTTTTTCTCCCTAAAGATAAGTTTTAATTTGAAATGGTACATTTTCAGCCAAGGCTGTATTTGCATTATGATCAGTGAAGACTGGGAAGCTCAGGTTCTTATCTGTCTTAACATAAAAATTGTACCATGCACCTTTAGTGATAAGGGCAAGATTTCCAGCCTACTTGAAATTCACTGCCTTTTCTGCATACCTCTGCATCGCGGGTGTGGACTCCGGGCCCGCACATCCAGGGCTGTGCGTGGTTTTGTGTTTCTAAAGTCACTGTCGTTTTTTAAAAATACGAAGTCAGCAGAGGATGGAAATAATTCCCCGTTCCCCTCCCATTTGCAATAAAATAACAGGTGTGGTGTGTTTGTATTATTTAAATGTGGGAGACCACAGTTCACTTAAAAATCTTTATGCATTAGAGGGAATATTCCTGATATTTTTGAAAAATCACTAGATATTAACCTGCAGTAGAGATATTACAAATGTTCTAAAAATGAACAATTTTTCCCCCCTCCTTCATTTTTTTAAAGAGTATGTTTAGTTCCAATCGTCAGAAAATTGTGGAAAGAACAGAGATCTTAAACCAAGAGTGGAAGCAGCGAAGGATCCAGCCCGTGCACATCCTGACTTCTGTGAGCTCATTGCGCGGGACCAGGGAGGTTGGTGAACTCGCGCGCTGCGGTCCTTCTCGGTGCGCTCTGCTGTCTGCTGGCGAGCGCTGTTGCTTGTTGAGAGAAAGCCACTGACTTCCGGATGCCCATCTTTTTATTGCCATTTCTCCTCCTGTGTAACTGTTAATGTCTGCCTTAGGTAACGCTAATACCTGTACGGGAGCTCTAGTGTTTGACATACTTTCCACTGTTAGTAGGAAGGTTGCTAGATTTTTAAGGACTGTTGTTGAAAAGTATCTTTTAATTAACTACTCTTCAATGTCCTCATCAGATCACTATTTAGATCAAGGCTTTCTGACTCACTTGTCTTTTTTCCCTCCACTAATACGAGTTAGCCATGCTGTAAGAACTCTCTCCTTTGTCTTCCAATTTATAGACAAAGTTTTCCACATTTTGTTTAAATTCTAACGTTCTTTTAATAAGAATTAAAAAGTTGTCACCCTAGGATATGTGTATTGATTTTAGAGAGAGAGGGAGGGAGAGAAAGAGAAACATCTATCAGTTACCTCCCATACATGCCCTGACTGGGGATCGAACCTACAACCTTTTGGTGTACAGGATGATTCTCCAACCAACTAAGTCATTCAACCAGGGCTTCTATAAAAATTTTTAAATTCAGTATTGAGGATTTGGAATGTCCTTTTCTATAGCATTTCCAAATGAATGAGATATTAATTCCTACAAAAAAATCTTAAAGAAAGGTGATAAGTCTGTGGTAGATTGTATGATTCAGTAACAGGAAAACAGGGGCAACAAGATGAAAGATAATGTGGACACTTAAACAGTGTAGACCCATGTTAAAGCATTTCTGTTTAAGCACCTGTGTTATATAGGAAGATGGCATAGGGTATGTTATGCTGTCTGAATGGGCTTAAGCAGAAAGAGGGAAAAAGTGATTTGAAATTTAGATTACCCCATGTAGTAGGTAATTGTTGACCTGAGCACCTGTGTAAACCAGCAATTTTCAACTGGTGTGCCACAAGAAGTTTTAAAAACATTCAGTACCCTCCCTGGGTGGTGGCTTAGTGGGTTGAGTATTGACCTGTGAACCAAAAGGTCACTAGTTCGATTCCTAGTCAGGGCACAGGCCTGGGTTGCAGGCTAGGTCCCCGGTTGGGGGTGTGCGAGAGGCAGCCTATTGATGTTTCTCTCGCATACCCATGTTTCTCTCCCTCTCTCTCTCCTTCCCTACCCTTCTCTCTAAACAATAAATAAAATCTTTTAAAAAAATTACAATACCTAACTAGGTAGTCAGGGGCGTTGACCCCTTTTCCCTTAGATTGTTAAGTAAGAAAATGACTACAGCCAACAAAACAGTAGCTGTCCAGTATGATCGAATCAAAATTATACCTATTATTTTTGTCCAATCCACAAAAAATGTATTTTTTGGTGTGCTGCAGAATTTTAGTAATTATAGTTTATGTGTGGAATGACATGAAAAAGTTGAAAATTGCTGACCTAAACTATGGAATTTGTTCTAAAATACATGTCAGTGAGTAGCCATTTTTAATGTAACATGGTGGTAATCAAGCACTACTTTGCTCCAGTCTGAGACCTGTGGCTCTGATGCGCTGGCTTCAGAGACTTGTCGGCACTGTCACAGTAGCCCAGGGTGCCACAGACACGGTCCTGGTGCTGACTTCGTGACGGCGGGCGGTCTCACTGGTGACGCCTGACTTGGGATGTTCTTAGCCATTCATGCGTTTTGTCAGGTCTGACCAGCACGTGTGCGCATACGTATGATATGCCATGAGCACGCCTGCGCCATCTGGGCCAGGCCAGGCCTGTGTGTCGGAGGTCATGACTGTTCACTGATGTACTGAGGATGAAAGGGTTTTTTTCTATGCCAGTCAGAATGGTCTTGAAAGGGTTAAGCAAGTGGTTTCTAGTAGTTCTTTTGAAAAGTTTTGTCTGGTGACCTTTTGAAAATTTTGAGGTGAAAGACAAAAAAATCCTCATTTTTTCCCCCCTCCCTGGAGGAATAAATCTTAGAAATTTGGGGAAATAAAGTAGAAACACATGGAATACTTATTTTTGCCATCCATTGCAAATCTCAAAATGCTGTCACAAGCCCAGCTTACATTAACAACAAAAGCTAGCAGCCACGACTCCGGGCACCGTGCAGGCGCTGTGCACGCGCCGCTCCCCTCGGTCTCCGCGGTGGCTGAGCTGCGCCTTCCCCAGAGGAGGAAGCTGAGCCTTAGGAGAGTTCAGCCCGTTTTGCTTGCTCTGATGATCTGATGTGGGCCCAGAAGAGTACACTTTGCTCAGATACATTAAGAAAATAGTGAAGTTCGTTATTTACGTACAACTTCAGTTGCTCATAATGTAATTTTTGGCATTAAATTTAAGAATACAATTATAGTCAAATGAATATTTACGAGTTGAAAATTTCTTTTTGATTTCGTCAAATGGAGATAAACATCATTGCATGTAAAGCTAACTTTTTATTGTGAATTTATGTGAGAGAGTGTGAGAAGAAATTAGGATTTTAATAAAACTGTTTTCTAAACTTAGTACCCCTTGCAGGTTGAGAAACACCATTTTCACAAAATAGGAGGGGAAAGGAGGGAAGTAATCCAGCCTCAGGAGCTCAGTTTCTGTGGCATGGAGCTCTGGCCCGGTCAGGCACGTTGGTTTTGAGCAGCTCTTGATAACCAGTCTGCTTCAGAGGACTTTTCTTTTACTCCCCCATCCTCACCTCCTTTCAGGCCATCGTTCCTGACTTTTGGGAATTGAAGGTTTATACAGTTTGTGACAAGCTTTTTGCTGTTATAACTAATAAAATCTTAAGAGCTGGAAAGGAACTTAATAATCTCTGTCTAATTGCCTTACTTTTCAGATAAGAATACACCCATTTTTTTCCTCCAGTTTGAGCCTTTTCAGGTATATATTGATTTCTTTCATAGGCTCTAAAAGTCAGAGTGTGAAGTAGGTTAGAAGCAGGAGGATAAGTAAGAGTCAGCCTGTTGGGCAGACTTTCCCAGCAGCAGGCCTGGCAGGGTTGGGACTGCGTGTTGACCCAGACACCCAGTCCCTGGCTTTCAGCACTTGGAAATGGTGCTGGGACACTGCTCATTTTCGTACGCTGGTCCTTTATGCATCCCGTCCCCAGTTTAAATCCTTGTGGCATGACGGTGATTTCAACGACAGTTTTCCATCTCTCACACGTCTTCTACTTGCTTCTTTTCTGTACTGGTACATGCACTTCGTTTTAAAGTGACTGATTATATCTAGGTTATTTTAGTAAAGAATGTCTGACAAGTTTACTTTCTGGTCTAATGAAGTGACTGCTGTAGATGCTGACTTCAGATTAAGTAGCTCTTGCAGCTGAACCTGGAGACAACATCTGTAGAATATTGTTTTCTTAATGTGCTTTTAAGACACTTTGGTACCTGTTGCTCAGTGAGGTTACAGAACCTTAAGCAGTGTTACCTGCAAAATATGTGTCTGTTTTTGTGCTTTTAAAGAATACTTCTGACTTACTGAAGTCAGTGACTGTAATAGATGCCATTTATTTATTTATTTATTTGTTGTTCTTCGGTTGATCTTAAGACGCTTAAAAATGTCATTAAGTGAAACATACAAGCTGAGGGACACGTGCCTTATTGCCACAGCATGTGGCCATTCATCAACAGCGTTTCCCGGCGACTTTCATTCCTTGTCTTCACGTGGGTGTCATCTCTTCGGTCAGTGAGTCTGTTCTTACAGTTTTAATGAAGAAACTGGTTTAAGAATTACTCTTCTAGTTCTGACTAGTGCATTTCTTTTTGAACATTTATTTATTTCTTGCTTAAAAAACACAAAGCACTTTCCTCTTCATCGATTCTTCATGTCAAGCTTTTATTGCCTCTCCCTATTATGACTGAAAGAGGCTTCCTCAAATGATGTCTGTCTTCCGGGCAAGTGGTGTGATTGGCTTTGTAATTTAAAAATGCCCCGCTAATAAGCATTTTCAGATTCCCAGGAGAACATCATGTTCTTGAAAGAATTCTGTGTCTTCTGTACTACAGGAGTGAGAATTTTTCATGTGTGTTGAAACGTGGGGCTTCTTGAGAATGCTTGACAGACAAGCAGGGTCAGGAAGGCCTCCTGGTCCTCCTGTTCAGGAGGAATTAAATGTCTTGGGCTTTTCAGTACATGGGCTTGCTCTTCCTAGTGATGCCTGAAATGATTTTAAGTTCATCACCTATCTTTTGACATTTGTATATTTTTTTTGGAGAGACTTCTATCAAAATAACGTAGAATGTGTAAGTTCTTTAATATATTTGCAGTTTGGATTTATTTTTGTTAAAGGAGAAGAATAACATTGTTTTGTTTACGTGTAAACACTTGACATTATTTATTGACTTGGTAATACACTTTCCTAAATTAGCTGTAAATAAATTTAATTATTGGTTACAAAGAAAATATATGTTAGTATACCCAGTATATAATTTTAGTGTTCTCTTAAACATACTCTCAACTTTCAACACACTGACATGTACTCTTTCCTTTGTAAATTGTAGGATTACATTACCAATAGGTCTGGAGTCTCCTGAGTCCGTTGAGCAGGTTGGGAGGGAGCGAGGTTGCTTTTGTCATGTCTTAAAAATAAACGGATGTCTCTCCCAAGTGTCTGTTTTGACTTTCAGGCTCAATATATCCATCCTTTCTTGGTTCCTGATAGAACTGGTTTTTAAGTTGCTTTCTTCTACTGTTTGCCTCTCTTAACCATTTGTTGGTATTTTCTTGGAGGATTAGTCTTGTATCAACTCTGCCAATCCTTCCACCCATGTAGCTTTTCAAATCACTGCAGCCTTCGCTTCCTTTCTGGCTTTCTTTCAGCTGAAATAGATGGAGCATTTCTTAAATGACTGTAAAGGAAGCGTTTCTTCTCTTTCAAAAGGAAACTAATCTAGTAAAAGCATTTAATGCACTTCCAAAGGGTCATTTAACAAAAAAGAAAGGTCGCTTACAATGTTTTGAGTTTATATTTTAAAGATTTTATTTATTTTTATACGGGAAGGGAGGGAGAAAGAGAGGGAGAGAAACATCAGTGTGTGGTTGCCTCTTGTGTGCCCCCTACTGGGGACCTGACCTGCAACCCAGGCATGTGCCCTGACTGGGAATCGAACTAGCAACCTTTTGGTTTGTAGGGCGACTCCCAGTCCACTCAGCCATACCAGTCAGGGCATTTTTTTAAATTGCTTTTAGAGGGAGAGGAAGGGGGAGAGAGAAACATCAATGCAAGGAGAAGCATCATTTGGTTGCTCTTTGCATTCACCCTGACCAGGGTTTGGGGATCAAACCCACAACCTAGGTATGTATCCTGACTGGGAATAGAACCCACCACTTTTTGGTTATGGGGTAAAGCTCTAACCAACTGAGCCACACTGGCCAGGACAAGTTGCATTTAATTTATTGTTTTTATTCTGGGATGCTGTTTATATGTTTGTGTTTAAAAATTATTGTTAAATTGACTATTACAAAGATTTTTTTCCCCAAAATGCAAAACCAAATTTTGACAGGTATTTTAAAAGCACACAGAACAAGCCAAAACCAAAAGAAATGCTTGCCTAGTCTGCAGTGTTAAACAATGCTTATTGCTATGAAGAAATAAGGAAATTTTATTAGACCTAGAACTTTGGCACAATTTATTTAGCTTGATAATGTAGATTGATTTAAATTCACTGCTTAGGATTCTGTTTTTTTCCTATTAGATTTTATAAAAGAATATCATTTGTACCATTTTGGGAGGTTTGGGTAGATTTCATGAGCTGCCTTGGCAACTGATGTGCCAGTTTTATACCAGCTAATGTGAGAATATCTGTTGGGTCAGTGGGATTCCTGTTTTTCATCTTTCCAATTAAAAGGGCATTGCAAAGTGATAACTTGAAGAATTCAGATAAAGAAATACATAAAGCAGTTCAATCCCCATGACTTTTATTCTTTGAGAGTTCTATGTCTGTAACGTGTTAGTAATAATGATAATATATATTCTATTTTGAAAAGTTACTCCCAGGTGAAGCAGGCCTGCCATTTGGGCCATCACTTCACAGCCCTGTCCGGGTCCTCGGCTCCCTGCCAGTGCACAGCGCTGGGTGCTGTGCAGAAACCGCGATTGACTGCCCTGCTGTCAACTGGTGGACATTTCGGTTTTTATGTCTCACTTTTGTAATTAGCGTTGTGGTGAATATTCTTCATATGCATCTTTGCATCTCTTGAGTACTTTCGTAGGAAAAGTTGAGGATATGATGTTTAAAATTTTGATAGGGATTACCACTACATTGCCACCCAAAGGCTCCAGCTTTCTGCTCTGGCCAGTGTCTGCTTATATTCCCAGCATCAAATGTTATCCTTTTAATCTTTGTCAGTGCAGTGGGTGAGAAATGACTACAGTTTGCCTTTATTAAATTATTGAGTGAGGTTGGGTGTCTGTCGTTCATATTTCTTGTACAAATTGGCCTATTATGGTCTTGGATCCTTTAAAATTAGGTTGGATTTTTTCCTTAAGATTTTAAAGGACTTCTTGTACGTACGTCACAGATACTAGTGTTTGGTCAGGTTTTGCGGATTTCCCCCTCTCATTTTGATGTTATCTCTGGTATACTTCGGTTATGCAGAAGTTTTAAAAGTTTGTGTAGTTAAGTTAGAATCTCATCTTTTGATTTCTGTGATTCTTAAAGGCTTAGAAAGTCTGTCTGTACTTCAAGGTTATAAATGATCTGTCCGTCCTTACCATTAGGATTGTTTTCATTTTTATATTTTACTGTCATTTAACAAATCAGGAATTTCCTTTGGCATAGTAAGCGGATGTTTGACTTTTAAATTTTTTCTGTTTAGCTTTACAGTTGTTTTAACACTATTACTAAATAGCCATTGAGTGGCTGCATAGCATTTAGAAATCTCTTTTGCAAAGATCAATCTGATTGGTGGTCACCTGAGCAGGTTTACCACCCGAGCAAGGACTTGGTGATTCTCCTTGGGCACTCTGGCTGGGTGCCAGTCTTGCTGCTCTTTAACTGGGGCCTCTGCTGCTCTGTAGCCTAAGCCTGACCCTGACCCTGACCCCATGGAAGCAAGACTTCACAGCAATGTGTTGCCATAGCTTATGGAAACTGAGGACTTGTATAATATTCTTTGCTCGGTTTCTTAGTTTTTGTTTGTTTTTCCATGACACAATGGTCTTATTTTCCACTCACAGGACTGTTCTTGAATTAGGTACTTGAGTTTGCATGTAATGGATGATCATGGCTCTGTTACCTGCTTAATGTCCTTTGTTGAGTGTTTTTGTACTTTTACCAGCTTAGGTTCTGTGTCTGACCTCCAGTATTTTAGCAAAACTGCAGATTATGAGGAGGCGATTCACCCTAACAGCCCCTTCAGACCCAGACTGTGTGGGGTTCTAACAGTTGATGTATTTACTAGGTTTGTAGATTTATGATGTCTTTCATTCAGGACCAGGTGTCTGAAGCTAGGATGCAGGGAAGAGCTTTAAGTGTCTGAATTCCCTGAGTTTGTATTCCAGATGTTATATGTTGTGTGTTAAATGCTACATATGGGCCCCCGTTGCCCCCAGAAGTGTAAGAGCCAATGCGTACAGGATGACCTCTTTCTATTATGCTTATGTGAACTTGCGGGAAGAGCCTTGTGTCGCAGGGTGGAGGTGGTATCCCCAGTCCAGATGGCTCTGCAGCATAACAAATGTTTAACAACAAAATAGAAATAGTGTGCAAGTTAGAGCGAACCACTCCTTCTTTCCTTAGTTCCATGACCCTTGATTAGGTGCTTGTATTAAAAACATCTGTGTCAATCAGGACTTTTTTCTTTGCATTTTTGCTTCTGACACTTGCCTGATGTAGCCACTCGTCTGTTTGAATCACCTTCTCCTAAGCATCCTCCTAACCTGGTAATGAGTCACTTACTATTGAGCTTCTCTTAACTTGACCCAGGCTTGATCCCGACAGTTTTCTTCAGCACTTTCTTCATGTAAGAGCAGTCTGAACTCAAGTTCCATACGCTCTCATTTCACCGGAAGGGCGAGTGAATTTAGAACTTGGCTGTGTTGTCTTTACTCTGATCTCGAAGAACATGGGTAGTTCCAGAAACGATGGCCAGCTTTTCTCCGGAGTTGGGTGGTGGCTGATGCTTCCTCCTGACCTGTTCTTTCCCACACCTTAAATGTGAGACAGTCCTTATTGTTTCGCTTAGAAAAGCGAAAGGATATTAGACAATGCCAGCAGTTCACCGTGTCTCTGGAGTGAATCAAACGGACCAACCAGTATCCAAGAGTACTTTTAATTTGGTTAACTGACTGTATTTTCCCTCCTACTACACAAAGTCGGACTTGACCCTTCCGATGTTAAGGTTGTTCCGAGCCCGGAGAGCTATGGCTGCTGTCCTGTGGGATGTGCCACTGTAAGACGGGGAGTTATCTGCCTCCTAGGGTAGTGGTGAGTCGTAAAGAAGTTAACTTTGGTAAAGTCTGTAGCACAGTGCTTGGCACATAGTAGGGTGTGTTAATTTCTTTCCCTTCCCTGCAGGCCATTCACCTGCTCTTCCCTCTACGATTTTCCATAACACAGTTTTAACTTGGAACCAGCCTTCTGCCAAGAGTCTCAGTTTGGTTGTGTACTCCTACAACTCCTATTTTTGGCTTGACTTCCCTCTCCAGCTCCCAGTGGTCCAGCCACACAGTCGCCTATTGTACCAGCTGGTTGATGTAAGTCTATCCATCCTCAGAGGAACCTGGTTACTTACCAGTAAGTTGTGTTTCTCTGAAAATGTAGCATCCTTGATACTTAATGTAGTTTTTTTTTTCTTTATCACTGATGATAAATCATATATGGTAACTTCCTTGTGATGCTCAAGTTGAAACTAGAATTAGAGAATCTATTTGTTGCTATAGGTGGTCTCCTAGTGAGCTCCTGAGTGCAGGACACGCGCCTCTGATCAGGTAAAATGCTGTGGAGACCCGCAAGGTCAAAATCCTTGTCATTGCTCTGTGTGATAGGAGGCTTAATTACATAAACTGTCAAGGATGATACATTTTCAAAGAAAAAAAGTTACTGGTAAGTAACTGGGATTTTTGAATAATTTTCCTATAAGTCAATAAGAATTCCCAAACTTGTTTTTACCAACAAATGCTTTTGCATTTGAATATTATTTCATGAGTGAGAGAAATGGTTATTAGTTAAGGTTGATAGCTAAAGAGTGGGATAGGTTTCTGGAGATACTATGCAGATAATTAAGCGATGTAGACCTTTAGTTTCCTAACTAGACGCTCTCTTAGCTTTAAAGAGAAATTCAAATAATGAGTTCTCCATTAGGGAGAATCAGCAAATGCAGTCTGTGTATTCCAGAAACATTTTTTGAGTGCCTACTCTTTTTTGAGACACTGTGCTGAGTATCATTGTGAGACAGAGAGGTAAAGCCACACTCTGCCTCTGCCGCGTCTGCCCTCCCGAGAGCTTGGCGACTCTCGTGTGGCTGTACTGACGCGATGGCCCGTGGGAGGACGGCAGGTGCGGGTGGAGGTAGCACCGAGGTTAGCCTTTGCCGTCTTATCTCTGTGCTTCTGTCAGTTCTTTGGTTCACGAGAAGACTCAGGTGGCTTCATGCAGTAGACCCAGAGCACTTTCTCCATGGCTGGAGCAACCAGATGAAGCGACGCCAGCATTCCTCCCGCCTAGTAGTCGAATAGAATACCTGGCTGTCTGACCTTAGGTGTGGTCTTGGATTTAATGTTAAAGCAGGTAAATCAGCCACAGGTTGGAGAGGCCACCCACTCCCCTGCATGCACCGCCCCAAACCCCAGGCTTAACAGGGGGCTAATCTTCAGAATTAAAGCCAGAGAATGATTACCCCTGCCAAATTTAAAATAAAAGTAAAAAACTCATAGTTTTGCAAGAAACAAAAGTTACTCCGTACTTAAAATCACTGGACAGTGTATGATACTTGCCCCAGAGTTACCGGGTCAGTATTCCTGTTCAGGAAGGAAGGAAGCCTCGGCAGGGCCAGGACTCAGAGGAGGGTCTGGGGGAGGAGGTGCGTGGGGTGCCCACTCCACGTCTGTAACATTGATGAAGCTCTCCGTGCCGGAGTCAGAATTAGGCCTCCGTCCTGGCCTGGCCTGGTCGTTTACTACCTTTCTGACTAGGCTAGTGGTTTCACTTCTCTGAACCTCAGTCTCCTCATTTGTGAGGTTGTGAAGCTAACGGCTGAGATGAGTGGTTAAGATAATGTCTAGAAAGCACTTAGCACAGTGCCTGCAACATAGTACGTGCTCAATAAATGTTAACTACTGTTACTACTGGGTGGTTGGACGGATGGATGAAGAATTGCATCAGAGACTAAAGAGGGGGACTGGGAAAGATTGTGGGTTTGGGAGTGTGAAGCTTTCTGGTATTATCTTTATCTTTGCCCTTTTGGAAAGCAAATTAATGGATGAATCACTGTCACAGTTCTCCCTAACTACTCTATCTTTAACCTTCCCTTCCACTGAGGAAGGGACTGTGTTTGTGCTGCAGTGACTCTGACTGTTGACAGATGACCCCTGGCCTGGCGAAATGCCGAGGGCCAGGCGTGGCCTCTGTGCCAACAGTGTCCACTCTGATGTCACCAAATCTAGTCCTGCTATTTTTAAGACCTCTTAAATAAAAATTAAGTGATTAATAATTATGTGTATATAGCATTATTATTTGCTTTATTTTACCACTTCAATTCTACTATTTTTTTGCTCTATTTTCATTGATTATAGATTATGCATGCGTGTCCAGGGTATTCTTGAGAAGGCTCTGGAGGCCTGATAATTGGGTAAAGGTACTTACTCTTTAAGAAAATCTGGATCCCTGGACGGGATGGAAACTGTTGTGGTTATCTGGGCACAGATTTTTACCGTATTTCATAGAATCAAAGATGCAAACTTTCTAACATTTTAACATCTGAAGCCATCATGCATTTTAGAATCTCTGCAATAAGAAAGCATTATGTTACAGTTTAACTGGAACAGTGGTTGTGACACAGAAGATAAAGGCATGCCTCGAGATTGGTGTCATCGTGGATTGGATGAAATACGGTCTTCGCAGGGAGCGCAGGCACGGACACCCTGTAGGGGTGAGCTGTCACGGCCGCGTGTGCAGGGCTCCGGAGTCAGACTCGCTGGGCTTACATTCCAGCCCCATCGGTGTGACTTTGAGCCGGTTATTTACCCTCTACCTTCTTCACCTTTGTTTTCTCGCTTGTAAAACGGGGGCGAAGGGTGGGCCCCATCTCTCAGGGTTGCAATGAGGACTGAATATGGTCAGACCTGGTGTGTGTAAAGTGGTGCCTAACACGTGCAAAAGGCTTGATAACATTGACTCTTATTATTATTATTAGTTTAGAGAATGTGCTTTGCCGAATTGATTCGGTCCATTTTGCTGTGATTGAAACCCAGCTCTGTTACCCTTTAATGTTTGTGTATCACCTGATAACTCAGCACATGACACCTGGGCTTTTTAAAAGGGAAGATAAAGATAAAGCTTAACCTAACAAGTTTCCCTGTTCTTACTAAGCTAGATCTAAGTGGCATATATGGTATCTATATTATTAATCCATATGGTTGAGGTGTGGAAGAAATTTTGAGCAGTTAATCTGAGGCTAATGTAAATACAGGTTTTGATTGGTAAGTATGAGAAGGGGTGGAATTAAAAATTTGTTAATTAAAAATTTGCAAAATCTGAAGCATTTTTTTATCCTAAGTAAAAGAGGAGAGAATTATTTTTGGGTTTTATGAACTGTACTGCCTTAGGTAAAGACAGTCATTTTTAAATTAAAAAATTTCCATTTAAAAATTATGTAAGTAGGCAGCATCTCTTAATGATACAATTGCTATAGCTTCAGGTTGTCTGTTCTTACAGGTCGTTTTATTTTTTCTGTTCTAGTGTTCGGTGACCAGTGACTTGGGCTTCCCAACACAAGTCATCCCTTTAAAGACGCTGAATGCAGTCGCCTCAGTGCCCATAATGTATTCTTGGTCTCCCCTACAGCAGAATTTCATGGTGTGTAAATAATGTAGCTTCTGCTTATTTGATAATCACTATTCTAAATAAATGGCAAGATAATATGAGTAAAAAAAGCTATCAAAATGATCAGAGTAGTGTTTTTAAACCGATTTTTATATGTATCTGTTTTAAGCATTTGTAGTGTTGCTCTTTTCCTAGTCCTTTCGAGTTTTAAAATATTCTTCAAAGGAAAAGCATTAAGCAAAAACCACACCTGGGATTGATAGATGTAAACATACTTAACAGATGAAGTTTACAGTTTTTAGCCTGGAAGAGGTCAGTCTGACTTTGAGGTTTTGTTAATTGAGAACTTCTTTACAGCAATTTAGGCAGCATGTTATTAAGTGACAATGTGCACTGTGGAATAGTCTTAGGGCTTATAAAACGCAAGCATCGCCACAGGTAACCCCCCAGCCCCACAGCCTTCATAGCGAGATGCTAGTGCGTAGTTCCGCATAGAAGTGGGGTGGAGGACGGAGCAGAAGAGAACTTTGAGTGTGCATTCTTGACTCGTTCAATAGAAATGTGGTTTTATTACTGGATATATGAAATAGTGTTATTTTTTCCCAAGCTTTCATATGATTGGTTTCTTTTTTTCCTAGCAGGAGAAAAAAAAGAAAAAAGTTACAAGATTCTTTTAATATTTTCACAATGTTAAAACTAAAATTGAGCTCTGTGCTATATAAGTAAATCTAGAATGCAAATGGGTTAAATAAGATTTTTCTCATTTAAAGATACAAGAGTTGAAGATATCCTTACATATAACAGACTTCACAGAAAAGATAGCTACTCCAGGGGAACAAGCATAAAAATATAGTTCTGTTACTTGATATATAAAATAGTAAGGGTAATAATGTTGATGAACATCTTTGGTGAGCTTATAGAGAATTGCTTGTATTTTATTGTCTTAATAACTTTTAAAGATTTTATAGGGGAGGGTTAAAGGCAGAATTTGGATACTCTTCCGCAGTTGCATACATTTGTGTGTTTAAGGCTTTATTCAAAAACATTTAGGTTTTTTTAAAAAAAGTATTTATTTTGAGAGAGAGAGGAAGGCAGGGAGAAAGAAAGGTGGAGACACATCAGTCACTTGCCTTTCGCCCGCTCCCAGCAGGGGACCTGGCCTGCAACCCAGGCTAGTGCCCTGACCGGGAATTGAACCGGTACCCTTAGTTCATGGGCTGATGTCCAACCAACTGAGCCACACCAGTCAGAACCAGAAACATTTAGTTGAGGCTCATATTGCAAGAGCTTAAGGGAAGTTTCACATTTTCACAGACTGAAATTCTGAAAGAATGTTGTGTTTAAACTTGCCAATACATACTATTTGTGAGCCATCCATGGGTTCTCCTGGACACTGACCAAGCACATTAGGCAGACTGTCTTTATTATGCTGGGTGTGTTGTGGGGACAGGATTATATGGATATGATTGGGAAGACAAAATAGCCATTGTCACTTAATTTTTTCTCGCATCCAGAAAAATGAACCTGCCTAGTTTAAACAGGACTAGGGCAAGTGAGATGTAATGAAAACTGGACTCCAGTTGTACACAAGCTTGAATCTGAATAGATCAGCACATTAAAATTTGAACTTTCATTTATACACTATGTACTCCCCGCCCCCCCGGCCCCCCCGCCCCGATTTTCCTTTTCTCTGTCTATGGTATGAACTCCGCAGTTGTCTTCAGTTTGTTGTCCAGGGATTACTGGGGAATACTCCCTTTCTTAACTACTGCCACTCCAGTACTCGACAGCCCCTGTGTCTTCTTCCCTGTCGGTCTCGGTCCCAGCCTGAGGCACCTCCCACGAGGACGTGTTTTTACTGATTTCAGAGAGGCAGGAAGGGAGGAAGAAGTACCGACGGGAGAGAGAAACGTTGAAGGGTTGCCCCCGTGTGTCCCTGACCAGGGCCAAACCCAGGACCTGGGAGGTGTGTGCTCTGGCCGGAACTGAACACGCCGCCTTTCCGTGTGCGGGTCCCCGGTCCAGCCAGCTCGGCCACCCGGCTGGGGCAAGGCACCTCACACTTGAAGTAGGCGCCCTGACCTCCTGGTTCAGGAGTTAGCTTGTCCTTTCTGTTTATCGGAATTATCATTCTAAAATTCTGTTTTTAACCAGGACAGCCCTGTTTAAAGGCCTAAGACTTAGAGCTGTCCTCACTGTTCGTTAGTGTTCTTCAGTACGGACTTTAGAGCCCTCGGGTCCTGATGTGTCATTACTGCCCTTCTGTCCTCTGCTGAAAGCTCTCTTCCTCCCACAGCTGCCAGCTTGCTTTCTGTCCCCTGTGTGCCGAAGTACCCCGCCTTCTCTGGGCTTGTCTCTGGCTCTTCCCAGCTAGGCTGGCACCTCATCCTCCCTGCGGTCTTCCAAATCTTGACATAAACTCATCTGTCATTTTCCTCAGCATTATCACTTCTGGTGTGCATTATATTCAGCCCCGTGTTGACATATTTTTTGTTATTCTAGAATTTTCTTATGTAAATGAGTAAATCCTTTCGGCATAAACTTCAGTGGACCATGGATACTCTGTTGAATTAACCCTAGACTTTTATTAGATTGAATGTCAGTAACTAGATCAAGTGAAATTTAGAAACTCTTATGGTAGTGTTTTTTATTTCATCAATTGTAAGACACTATCAGTGGAAATAAGAGCATGTAGATAAAATAATGGGAAATTTTAATGATTGATGGCATGTTAGATTAGGTAAGCTCAGTAGTTTTCTTTGAATTTGTTTCAGTTATACTTACTAGAGAATGGGATCTTTTTTTTTTAAACCCTCGCCAGAGGATGTGCTTATTGATTTTATAGAGAGAGGGCAAGAGGGAGTGGAAAACGGAGAGAAGTATTGATGCAAGAAACATTGGTCTGTTGCCTCTCTGACGTGTCCCACCTGGGAACCGAACCTGCAACCTAGGCTTGTGCTGGGACCAGGAATCAAACTCGTAACATTTTGGTTTGAAGGATGATATCCAACCGAGTCACAGCTTGTCACAGGGCAGGAGAGGTGTTTCATTTTTAGAGAGTTTGCTGTCTATTATTTCAGGTCTGGAGATCCGAGTAAAGATACCTGCTTGTGAAAAAAATTGTCACAATTTTCATTTATCACGTTGATTTTTAAAACTTTCAATAGATAAGGGTGTTTTTTAAACTTACTATTTTTTAACTTTTAGGTGGAAGATGAAACTGTTTTACACAATATTCCTTACATGGGGGATGAAGTTTTAGACCAGGATGGAACTTTCATTGAAGAACTAATAAAAAATTACGATGGAAAAGTACACGGGGATAGAGGTGAGCCATGGGTTTATTCTCCTGGAAAAGGGGGCTGAGGGGTTGTGAGATAATTTGATTTTTTTTAAGCATAGATATGGAAAATATTTTTTTAATGTATAAATTAAGTTTTGTGCTGGGCTGGTCTGTCTCACAAGCCTAAAATTTTCATTGTTTTCCCTATTTATAAATTGAAGGACCATGTTTGCCATGTGAAATTTATGCATAGTGGGTTATAACATAAATTAGATCAATAACATAAATTAAATGTAACCGTTTGAGCATCCCTAGATTTTAAGATCCTTCGGCAGTGAAAGTAAGAAGAGCCGAAGCTCTGCCTGTGGGACGTGGGATCCCAAAGGCCCCCCCACTCTCACGTAGCTTCCCCACCAGGCCACTGCAGCACCTGGATTCCACGGGCGGAGTCCTGGCTTCGGTGTCCTGTGTCCCCGAGAGCCTGCCAGCTGGTTCTGGCAGGAGGGTGATTCGTGCACTATCACCAGCCATCCTCATCACTAGTGGAAAGCGAGGTCTGCCAGGAACACTGATTTGAAGGAGGCCAAGGCCACAGTTAGTTTCTAGTGAATCAGGTTACAGCGGAGGCACTGGGAATGTTTGGGGGAGGGATGAGGAACGAGAAAATGACAGGTGCTGAAGGCAAATTCTGTTCCCAACTTGGCCTTTGGCCAGTCCCGGAGAGGGTCATTTCCCCTCATTTTGACAGGAGCGTTGCAGTGCCGTTTGGTGGGCTCTGGCTGTTCCAGATTGGAAGATGACACACACATGCTCTTGTCGTTGCCACTTCCCCCTGTATGTTTACGATGTCTGACTTGGTGAATTTCAGAATGTGGGTTCATAAATGATGAGATCTTTGTGGAATTGGTGAACGCTCTTGGTCAGTACAATGATGAGGATGACGACGATGATGGAGATGAGCCTGATGAGAGAGAAGAAAAACAGAAGGATCTGGAGGAGAACCGAGACGGTATGTCTCTTAGGTTTGTGTGTGGCCATTACAGCAGTTTAAGAAAAAAACAGTCGAGTACGAGTGGATCTTAACTCCTTTTTGGGGGGGGGTTTACAATCACATCGATAGCAGTATAATGGAAATTAGAGTGTTATTTGCAACTTTGTACTCTGCACTTGAGCATCTTTATTTCCTCTGGCTAGCAAAAGAGTATTCTGTGTTTCGGGTTTCACGGGGCCATCCCAGTGATCATTCGATAACACACTGATCATTTCTGTGTGCTAGGCATGTGCTCCTCACCTTGTGTGCGCCAGCTCAGTCCTCAGAATGCCCTGCAGGGTGGATCTGTGTCGTCATGGAGGAGAAAGGTTTAATGCAGTGAAGTGACTTTTAAGTTCACACTCTTGGGGAGGGACAGCCCAGCACACCATGATGGTGACCAGCTCTGGTGGCTCCAGGGCCTATGCTTTTCACCCCCACACCCAAAACCAGGGTCCCCAGGCAGAGCCAAGAGTTGGTGGAGACTTGGCAAAGCTCATTAAGACAATATAGAAGGATTTGAGGGAAAAGTGCAGTTTCAGAGAAGCATAAATTTTTTATAACAGGCACCTTAGTGATTCATGTAGTTCTGTGCATCCATTTCCAGATGTGGAAACACATCCGGGTCAGTGGCCAGCCACGGTCACAGAAACACTTAGCAGCAGAGCTGGGATTCGAACCCATATTTTTCTGTCTCCCAGTCTGGTTAAAACTTTTGTTTGTGTGACCTACTGTTATGCCATCGGTACATGGAAATTATGTTAGAAGTGGAACACAAAGCTGATAATTTCTTAGAAGATGAGCTGTGTTACATACAGTGCTGTGGAGAAAATGAAAGACTGAAAACTTGTTTACTTTCATTCTTTTTCTCCTTTTGTATTTCCCTGTGTAGATAAAGAAAGCCGCCCACCTCGGAAATTTCCTTCTGACAAAATTTTTGAAGCCATTTCCTCCATGTTTCCAGATAAGGGCACGGCAGAAGAACTGAAGGAAAAGTAAGATGTGTTCTCTTGAGGCCGTCTCAGCTCGTCTGGGATGCCGCTTGCCATGCGGTTAATCGGAGAGGGAACTGGTGTTGCCTAGGGTCCGCTCACTCCGTTTGTCACACGTTTGCCAAGGTGCTCGGAGTGATGCCGGAGCCCGCGGCCCTCTGGCCCCCAGACCTTTGCTGTCGACAGAGCAGACGCGCACATAGCGGGCAGCAGTCGTCCGTGCAGGGGGGCTTCTCCGGACACTCGCAGGGATTTTGGTGCGGTGGTGGGCAGCTTAATACAAGAACATTTCCCAGGCTGCACCTTGTGAATTCCATTCTTGATGTGTCACGTGTAATGTTCAGTTGTTTCTTCACAAGATGGTTGTGGACTTTTCTTCTATGCTTCAGGAAAGATTTAAAAAAAAAACAACACATGGAATCTGTTGAGAAACTTTATTTTTAAAATGTGAACCTTCCCTTCCCATTGACTTGTGTTCTTGGTCCCGTCAGGTATAAGGAACTCACCGAGCAGCAGCTCCCAGGGGCCCTCCCTCCCGAGTGCACCCCAAACATAGACGGACCAAACGCCAAATCCGTTCAGAGGGAGCAGAGCCTGCACTCCTTCCACACGCTCTTCTGCCGGCGGTGCTTCAAGTACGACTGCTTCCTCCACCGTAAGTGCCACTACTGTACGTTTCCGCTTTCTGCCTCCGTTGTGGGGTGGGGTCTTAGGGCCGCTCGAAAGCTGCAGTCGTTCTTCACAACTAGAACTTACAATTTGTTGTGTCAGTTAAGTTCAAAAAAATGTTGGCTTCAGTGTCTCGTTATTATTGTTTAAATCTTTATCCAAGTATATGTTTATTGATTTTAGAGGGGTGGGGAGAGAGAAGCATCAGTGTGAGAGAGAAATTGCCTCTTGTACATGCCCTACTGGGGATCGAACCTGCAACTCAGGTATGCACCCTGACTGGGCACTCATGCTCCAGCCAACTGAGCCACCTGGCCAGGGCAGTGTCCAGTTATTTTTTAATTGGCTGTTTGAGGGTTGCTCCAGAGTCTTGGGCACGCTTTGTCGAGCTGCCACCTCCCACTAGCGTGGGGCGCACACAGGTCCGTGGTTTTCCCGGAAGTGCTAGCCATGCAGCACTGACGGGCAAGTTTTGTTGAGGAAATTGGCTAATATGATGGTTACATACGCTGTTATCTGCCTAATGCTAAATGTTTTTTCTTTTTTGGTTCTTTAAAAGAAACCCCTCATTTGAATACAGGTAAAGCATAAAATGTTCCTAATGAAATTGAAGTATGGCACATAGCAATATAACTTAATTTTTCTGACATGCTGGGGAATGAGGTTTCTTGGTACTGGAGCTTCTTTAAGAACAGTTTCAAAAGTACCAACTACTTCTGAGGAACATACTTTGAAAGTATGTTTGATGCCGCCCAGTTTACTCAGCCTAGTTTACCTAATATCGCTTAGCGTTCTCCCTGTTACAGGTAGTGTGATGTTGGTGGCAAGGTAATGCGGTAGGGGCTTCGGACCTGTGTGAATGGGGGCTTCGGACCTGTGTGATCTCCCTGCACTGAGTGGTCCTGTGTCGCTTCTTTGTTTTCAGTTCCCGATCCCGCCTCTCACGGAATTTTCCCCCTCATTTTCCTGTCACGTGTCTTAATGTGAGGTAGCCTGCCCAAGCAGCTAGTTCTTGCCTCATGTTGAGTTTTGCTCTGTCTACTTCGATCTGCTAGAGCTTGGGATTTGTTGTGTGATGTGTAGCTTGGTCTGGAAGTAATAATTTCTGTGTGTGAAATATTTATTTATTTATTTTTAGAGAGAGGGGAAGGGAGGGAGAAAGAGAGGGAGAGAAACACTGATCATACGCCCCCAACCTGGGACCTGGCCTGCAGCCCAGGCATGGGCCCTGACTGGGAATCAAACTGGTGACCATTAGGTTTGCGGGACGACGCCCAGCCCACTGAGCCTTGCTGGTCAGGGCTGTGTGTGTGAAGTATTAGTGGTTAAGTTAGAAAAGCTTAAAGTAGGTTTTTAGAATTATTGTATCTCCTATCTAGTGAAAATGGGCGACTTGGCAGCGTTGAGAATCGTGGCCATTGGGTGTTTGTCCAACACGTGTCTTACTTGGGTGTGGCAGTGTTGTCTTCACGCAGCCCTTGCAATAGTCGTTTTGAATTGCGCTTAATTGCCCTTTACACATGGTCATTTTATAAAATATGTCCAATTCTTACTAAGCATATTGTAGCCCTGGCCAGGGAGTTCAGTTGGTGGGAGTGGAACAACCCTGGTACGCCACGGTCGTGCGTTTGATCTCGGTCAGGGCACATGCAGGAGTCCGCCAGCGAACGCGTCAGTAAGTGGAACGACGCATCAGTGTCTCTCTAACATCAACAACACACACACACACACACACACACACACACACACACACACACTCTGAAGAAAAGAATATTGTAAGTTGTATTCACATAGCACCGTAGCGGAATAATGGAGTGAAGTGGTCCCTTCAGTTTGCTGGTTGTAGATGCAGCATTTCACGTCCCTTTTTGCTGTACAAATGAACCAAGGAAGCAGGATGCCACTTTTAAATATTACGGGTTATTTTATTGGGCTGTTCAGAGTTGAGTGATTTTGATGAACCTTGAGCCTGTTGATTATCCCATTCAAGCTGGGGAGAAAGAGAGAGAGACCTATTTCAGTCTTGGGGCGTCGGCTTCTGTGGGACCGAAGGGCTGCCCACTGGAAGTGCTGGGCAGTGGGGGTCCAGCTGTGGCCGTGCCGCCCTCCTGTCGCAGAGCCAGTGTCCTCCGCACGCAGTCGCCACACGGTCCGTCATCGCACCTGACACAGTGCTTCTCACTGTGTGTTTCCCTTGGGTAAAGCACACCATTAAGTCAGCTACTACACTTAGAATAAGGACAGCGTTTTGTGCTTCCTTTTTTTTGTCTACATGATGAGACTATATATTGTCTTGGCCAAAAAATCCATGTGGTTTTTTCTGTAAAATAAGACACATTTTTCATTTTCACCAGTAACTTTATTGATTTGAATATCTTGTGTATGTAGGCTATCTCTTGCATGGTATAACATTGATTGTTCTTAATTAATGTCTTGATTTGATTGCTGTCAACTTGAGCTGGTCTGCCTGACTGGAGATCACCCAGCAAGAAATCTCCAGCACAAAACTTTGCACACCACTTTTGACACGGTCGATCAGTCACAGCGCCCCCTCCATACATGGCACAGATCTTTTTTTGTGTTTCAGTTGTATTTTTACCTTTCTTGAAATAATAAAACATAATGCTGGAAATGTTGAATATTTTCCATCTTCAATATTAAAATGACTGTATAACAATGCATGTTGGTGTGACAGCTGTTACCATGCAATCTAACAAAATTGTTTTTGAATAAAGTTAAAGACAACTAAGCACTACTAGAGCCATGTTATGGAAAAAATGGAACAAATGTTTTGGCCATCCCAGTATATATACTTTATAAGCTGTTATGAGGACTAAATTTATTACTGTCTGTAAAATACTTAAAATAGTACTTGGCTTGTGTTTAGGTATTGTTATTTTTTAAATAGGTCATCATTCACATTACTTATATTTCAAAATTGTGTTAAAAGGTGTCCAGTGGAGTCTCCGTACCTCTCCTGTATCTTTCAGTGGTTTCTTCTGGCAAATACAAACGTCGTTTTTCCCGACTGCCCTCTCCCAGTGGTGCCATGTTATTCAGGCGTTTTTCTTTTCTGACTTAATGTTGTGGGTGTTACTCCTGTCTGGACAGCCGCAAAGTCTAAAATTCCCATAAGCAGTGTTTATTGAAATTTTAAGGGTAGTTGAATTTATCAGCTTGCTTTCCCTACTCCAAGATTATAAATGGTGTCCTACTTTTTTTTTCAGGTATGTTTTAGGCTTCATTTTTTCCATTTAACTCTCCGGTCCATTGGGAATTCCGATAGACTCCAGCGACCCTCCCACCTTTGAGGTGGCCTGGTTGCCTCATACCCAGGGATCAGCGAGCTCCTCTCTCGCTCGCCGTGAGAGCCTGCCCTCGTTGCCCTTGGGTCCCGGGGTCTGCTTCTGGCCTTTGTGTTCTGCTCCTTCAGTCTGTCTGTCTGTCCAGAGGCATTCTTCAGAGATCTCCTGCTAGAATTGTGTATTATTTTAATACAAATTTTAGTCAGTTTGTCTAATTAAAAAAGTTCAGGTGGTATGTTTATTGGAATCTCATTAAATTTATGAATTAAAGGGAAATTGACATTTAAAAATAAAAATTAAGTTTGTGTCCTTAAATGACCTCAGATTTTCTTCATGTAGCTCGTGTATTGGGTTGGCCAGAAAGTTCTGCGGTTATTAATGGTGTTTCATCTTCTTTCCCAACTTGGTAACTTTAATTTCTTTTTCTTGCCTAGCTATGTAGGCTTGTATCTCCATGACATTGTTAAGTAACAATGGTGCTTAGTAGATAAGTTTTCTGTCATTTCGGAAAATTATCCCTTTTTCCACGTATTGAAATTTATTAGTATAAAGTTGATTTGCATCTTCTGATTCTTTTATTTTGGTGATTATTCTTTTATTATGTATTTTCTGGTTTTTGCCTTGAGATTAAGTGGTTTATATATTTTATCTTCAAAAACCTGTTTTTCATATTTTCCCCTCAGATTCAACTACTGTATTTTACTATTTTTTTCCACATTTTAAAAATATATTTTATTGATTATGCTATTACAGTTGTCCCATTCTCCCCCTTCACTCCCCTCCCCCTGCCCACCCCCTCCCACCCCCATTCCCCCCCTTTAGTTCATGTCCATGTGTCATAAGTTCTTTAACTTATACATTTCCCACACCATTCCTGCCCTCCCCCTGTCCATTTTCTACTTATTGTCTATGCTACTTATTCTCTGTATCTTTTCCCCCTCTCTCCTCCTCCCACTCCCCTGTTGCTAACCCTCCATGTGATCTCCGTTTCTGTGGTTCCGCTCCTGTTCTCTTTGTTTGCTTAGTTTGCTTTTGTTTTAGGTGTGGTTGTTACTGTGAGTTTGATGTCTTTTTTTACTGTTCATATTTTTTATTTTCTTTTTCTTAGATAAGTCCCTTTAACATGTCATATAATAAGGGCTTGGTGATGATGAGCTCCTTTAACTTGACCTTGTCTGGGAAGCACTTTATTTCCCCTTCCATTCTAAAGGAAAGCTTTGCTGCATAGAGTAATCTGGGATATAGGTTCTTGTCTTTCATGACTTGGAATACTTCTTTCCAGCCTCTTCTTGCCTGCAAGGTCTCTTTTGAGAAATCAGCTGACAGTCTGATGGGAACTCCTTTGTAGGTGACTGTCCCCTTATCTGTGGCTGCTCCTAGAATTCGCTCCTTCATCTTTATCTTGGGTAATGTAATTATGATGTGCCTTGGCGTGTTCCTCCTTGGGTCCATCCTCTTTGGGACTCTCTGAGCTTCCTGGACTTCCTGGAAGTCTATTTCCTTTGCCATATTAGGGAAGTTCTCCTTTATTATTTGTTCAAATAAGTTTTCCACTTGTTGCTCTTCCTCTTCCCCTTCTGGTACCCCTATAATTTGGATATTGGAACGTTTAAAGGTGTCCTGGAGGTCCCTAAGCCTCTCCTCACTTTTTTGAATTCTTGTTTCTTCATTCTTTTCTGTT